TTAATAAATAAGTCTCCGACTATATAGTTTTCTTTTTTATCATTAATTCCTTTTTTAATAATATGTTGTAAGAACATGCACAGGTTTTCGCACACGCCGTCAGGTGGCCTATAACAACAGCTTAATAAATGTTTTTAGTTTGATTGTTTGTAATTTCAATAGTTACAATTTCTTTATCACAGTCAGAAACGCTCAAATCATTCCTAAAACAATACTCAAAATTTTCGTGAACATAAATTAATACTCCACCGCCGCGCTTATTTGTTTTCCTCTCCAACAACAACATCAACAACAAACAACAACAAAAAGCAATATATTTACCAAGAATATAGATGTTCTACAATAAGCATGTTATAAAATACAAATAAAAAAAAAAAAATATGTATAGTCTATATTCTGGATGGTTCACTCTCATATAGCCTGGCTAAATCGAGGAGAGCGACCATGAGCAAAACAAAAACGAAAGAAAAACAAAAACAAAACAAACAACAACAAAAAAAACGAAACAAGCTAGCTAATACATTCACATAAGGTTGCTATTATTTAACATTGATATTTATATCATATCTCTTATAACTTCTATTGTCATAAATCTTTTATTACCAACGATTCAATTGTTGTTTTAATTTATCTTGGTGTATCAGGTTGTATTTTAATTTAGTTTTGAGAGTATATTTTTTAATATTGCAAAAAGGGATTGTTTTTAATTTATTTTGAAGTTGACTCCAGTTCATTAATGCAGAGTATTTAAAGGATTGTTTACCATAGGATTTGTGTTATATGTTTGCACACTCAGTGCACCGCTACAAGAATTTCTTGTAAATCGACTGCTAATTGCTCTGCGTGGAGTAAACCATTCATCAAATATAGGCGGCAGTTTTTTATTAAGGCAGCTAAGAATAAATAAGCAATTTTCAATTTTGATTAAATCATGTACTTTTAAGATATGTAATGTGTTAAAAGATGTGGATGTATGTGAATTTTTTGGAAGAAATTCAATAATTCTGACTGCTTTTTTCTGCATGATAAATAGGCGATTAATAATACTCATATTTTGACTCCATGATATACGGCATTATGTGAGGTGAGAGTGAAATAAAGCATAGTAAATAGATTTTAAAGTTTTTTGTTGAATGAAATGTTTTAGCTTTGATAGAATAGCAAGGGATCTATTCAACTTATTAGAGATATCGTTATAATGATAAGCCCAGTTTAAGTTTTCGTCTAGCCTTATACCCAAGTAGTTAACAAATTTTTTACAACAAAGTTTTTTCTCATTTAATTTAACTTTAATCTGCTGGTCTAATTTTTTGTGGGGACTTTTAAATAATATTAAATCAGTTTTTTTGGAGTTGAGGGAAATTTTGTTTGCATTAAGCCAATTGCATAGTTTCTTAAGGTCATCGCTAACATATTTGTTGATTTTTTTTACAGATTTATTAAAGTAGAGATGGTTTGTGTCATCTGCAAAGTGTTGGACTCGACAAAATTTTAATGCTTTAGACATGTCATTTATATAAATAAGAAACAGCAAAGGGCCAAAGACAAATCACTTAGGAACACCTACTTTGATATCGTTTAAGTTTGAGTTCACTATACCAATAGATATTAATTGAGATCTATTAGTAAGAAAAGATTTAAACCAGGAGTTTGAAACTCCTCTAATACCATAGTAGGATAGTTTATAGAGTAGAATGTCAACACCTACAGTGTCAAACGCCTTTTGAAAATCAATAAAAATACCACATTCAAACATTCCTTCATCTAGAGAATTTTTAATTTTTTCTGTTAGACTTAGTAAAGCAAGTGATGTAGAGTAGTTTGTTCAAAAACCAAATCGTAGATCGCAAAACAGTTTATTTTCATTAAAGTATTCGTATAAGCGGTTTAATATTAGCCTTTCAAGAATTTTATCAATGTTGGAGAGGAGGGAAATTGGCCTATAGTTTGACATAATTAGTTTTGAATCATTTTTAAAAATAGGTATAACTTTGGCAGTTTTTAAGTTTTCTGGAAAAATACCGCTCGAGAATGAGGTATTAAAAATGTTGGAAAGAATTCTTGAAAGTTCAGTTTTTAATAGTTTTAGAATTTTAACTGGTAGACCATTTGGTCCAGAAGCTTTATTTGAGTCTAAAGAGTTGATAATTTTTGAGAGTTCATGTTCGTCAGTAGGTTTTATAAAGAAAGATTTTTGATCAGGATTTGATAAGTAATATGTGAAATGATTCATGGATGAAGGAATTGTTGCCTGGACATCCTTACCAATGCCAGTAAAGTAGTTGTTGAATGTATGACAAATATCAAAGGGGTTTGTTATTTTTATATTATTATGTACGAGTACATTAGGAGTTGTGCGAGAGTTGCTTTTAATATTAATGATGTTTTTAATACCTTTCCAGGTTGCCTTTATATTTTTTATGTTTTCAGTAAAATAATTATCAAAGTAATTTTTTTTGCTTTCTTTGAGTTTAGATTGGAGTTTATTACGAAATATTTTATACTCATTGTGGAATATGGTTTTATTTGTTTGATTTTTAGACCTAATATATTTTTTGAAGAGCTTGTTTTTGTGCTGTATAGAGTGCTTGAGTTCATCAGATATCCATGGTTTAGTCTTGAATTTAATATTTTTTTTGTTAAGTTTTCTAAAAGGCGCGTGGATATCAAGCAACAAATTAATAATGGAAATTAGTATTCTCGAGAGACTGAGTACAGTTATCAGGGTATATTTTTGGTTTTTGATCTATAATAGTTTTGTGAAAATCGTGTTTAAATGATACTTCATTGAAACTCTTCCAGTTTCTTTCCTGGGTTAGGAGTTTTTTGCTAGGTGGTGGTTTAAGAATATCATAAGCTATTAGAAATTGAGGAAGATGATCTGAGATTGTGGTGGTAAGATTCCCAGCTTTATATTTATTTGATTTAATATTTGAGAAGATATTGTCAATTAATGTTTTTGATGTTTTACAGATACGAGTAGGGTGGATAATGTGAGGAAGAATGTAATTTGAGGTAAGTGAGTCTAAAAAGTCTTTTGCATATAAATCTGTGTCACATTTTAACAAATCAATGTTAAAATTTCCTAAAATAAATATAGTTTTATTTTCTTTTGTTAAGTTTTTGAGTAAAGGATTAAGATAGAAGGATAAGAAGTTGTCCAAAGATATTTTTGGATGCCTGCAGAAACAGCCAACAATAATATTTAATTTTTTTGGATTTATGATTTCAATGAAGATAGATTCTAGCTCTTTTGGTTTATAGATGAGGAGATCATTTCTGGGTTTATAGGCGAGCCTGTTATTTATATATAATAATGCACCACCTGCATGTGATTCAGATGGTGTCTGTTCATGGGAATACCAATTTAGTGTTATGTTGCTAGTTTGAGGCCTGTTTTTATTCAGTCTGGTTTCTGATATACCAATTATATCAAATTCAAGTTTTGTTGATTGGAGTATTTTCAAGGTCGTCAAAATGTTTTGAGAGTGATGAGATATTGATCTGAAATACATTGAATGAGGATTTGTCAGCTGCAATACATTTTAAATCATCAACATCCATAGAAATAGTATTAAAATGAGGAATATCAAAATTACTACTTATTTCATCTTCTGTGATCCAAGTTTCAGTTAAACAAATTATATTAAAAATGTGTTTAGTTTCTTCTAATAGATTTAAAATTTTTTTAAAATTGTATTTTAAACTTCTTATATTCAGGTGGAGAATTACAATTTGATTATTACTTTTTTCGCAAGCATTCTTAAAAAGAAACCCTTCTAGTTGGTTTGGAAAATGATACGAACAATCGGATAAAATACTGCGATAAAAATTATCTTTTGGGTCTAGGTATTATTCTGAAGAAAAGAGGTTTGTTTCATATAAATTAAAAAAAAGGAATTCAAAGTTATTAGTCATAGCCATGATAATAAATAGGAAAAAAAAAAAAAAGATTTCCCTTTAGGAGTACTAGTTATTTGTTAAGATTGATTTTAAAATCATTATTAAGATAAATTATTTTGTCATATCTTACCGTTACATTTTTACGGTTTTGCTTTACTTCCGCAAATAATCTTTTCCGAATTGCAACGGTCTCACAAGAAAAGTCTTCGTTAAAAAAAAAACTTGGAATAATAAAAAGAGGGGAGGGATTCGAGATAAAAATAGGGAGAGGAGAAAGGGATTCGAGATAAAAAGGACAAAAAAGAACAAGGAGAGGGGGGAGTATGTCAAAAAAGAACGTCACTTTATAGATTTTTTATTTTAATTAACATGAAAAAATATGTAAATATGTGTTTTTAAGAAGATAATGTATAAGAATACTTTTAATTTTATTTTCCAAAGGTGTAGCGTCAAATAATTTTTTTGGGGATTTAATTTGATTGTGGGGGAGGGGGGTAGGATTTTATGACGTCCTTTTCAAGGGGGTATGAGGAAAAAGAACAACCGGTGATAAAGGGGGGAAGGGTCAAAAATTGGCTAAAAATGATGACGTCCTTTACGGAAGGTTCCAAAACTATTTTTTTGTTACTGTTGTAATAAATACAATCTCTTATCCACGAAAATGATAAATCTGTACCAGTTTTATATAATTTAATGCATTTGTATGCAACATAAAAAAAATTAATAAAAAAAAATGTAACATAAATATGCAAAAGGAAACTTGACGCATAAAGGTTTATTTTGCCACAAACTGACGTCAATGCGCAAATTTTTTTTTGGCTCAGCTTTTAGATTAGCGTTTAATAATATTCTTTTGTTCATAATCATAATCATAAGAATAATTTTTTTTTTAATGACTATGTTTTAGTGCTCTAAGACCTTCTAAGTTCCATTTGTATAACGTTACATACAAACGGCTGTAAGTATAAATGTCTTTAGCATATGTTGAGTTTCCAGGCATTATATGGAATAATTGCGTCTATCTGACTTCAGCGACAGCAAAAGCACAAAGAACTTTGGGTCTAATTAAACGTACGTTTACATACTTCGTTGTGGAAATGGTGAAATCACTATATACGACATTTGTGAGACCGCTTCTTGAGTTCGCTATACCTGCATGGCAGCCTTATTTACAACGGGATATTGATGAGTTAGAGAAAGTGCAAAGAAGAGCAACGAAGTTAGTTCCACAACTTAAAAAGATTTCATATGAAAAAAGACTGAAAGCAATGGGTTTAACAACATTAGAGAAAAGACGAGCTAGAGGAGATCTTATACAACAATACAGATTCAAGCAAAATATAGACCAAATAAATTGGTACAAAAATCCAAAACCGGCATCATCAGTGACTAGTTCAGGCCCGGCTTTTTCTGTAAGGGGCAATAAATACAGGCTAGAAAGAGAATACGTACCATCATGTTTACCGAGATATAATTTTTTTACCAATCGAGTTTGTAAAAATTGGAATTTGTTACCAAATGAAATCATTGAAGCAACATCGTTGAATGTTTTCAAAGCGCGAATAGATAATCATTTTTCATAACTTGTGTTTTTTTAATTTGTGTGGGCTGTCTATAACCCGATGCTTGCATCGGGTTATAGACAGCCCACACAAATTAATATGTAATTGTTACAGCAATAAATATTACTACTACTACTACTACTACTACTACTACTACTACTACTACTACTACTACTACTACTACTACTACTACTACTACTACTACTACTACTACTACTACTACTACTACTACTACTACTACTACTACTACTACTACTACTACTATATATCTATAAAATGAGAAAACATTAAAATTTTATTTTAAATTTTAAAAATCTTTTTTGCTATATTATTATTTTTTTTCTATAAATATATAAGCAAGATTGAAAAAATTTCAAAACTTATTACGCTAAGAGGAGGTCTTAAACCCTCTAAAACAATACTGATGACAGCGCACTTAATCACTGAGCTATCAATGAAATGCATTTATCCGAAAAATAAAGTTATAAGTATCTTATAAGCTCTACGTATACGGAAAAGGTGCACATGTTTAGTTTTTTACTCTAAATTTTTATTTCAGAATAAATTATTTTACTAAAAAATATTGAAGTAAATAAGGAAGAGGTATAGTAATTTTCGGCTAGAAATAGTTATGCAAATTGGTAAAGACCTGTATTTTACGGATCCGGAAAGCTAGAATATATAAGGAAAAAGTATAGAAAAGTTTGGTTTGGAATAGATATACAAAGACCCGTATTTTTACGGGGCCAATCTCAACTTTTTTCATGTTATTATTTAAATTAATTATGTTTTATTTTAGACATCTTACAATGCTTTTTTAGCATTTTGCAAAACGAATAGATGGTCCACATTGCCCACATGGTGTGGGTTCAAATTTAGGGCAAAAGCATCCCCCACCTTTTTATATATATACATACATATGTTAAGGAGGAGAGTGAATAGTAGATACAAAAAACGCTGCATCTATAATTAGTTTTTATGTAGTTGGTTATTCTACCAATTAAACCAAGTATTGGTTAATCTACCAATCCTTTGTTGATAATGCAAATTTAGTTGAACTTTTTTTGTAAACATACATTTCTATATATATTTTGTTTTGTTATTATGTATAAATAAATTGATTTCCATTTATTACATTAATACAATACAGATTATTTTTATTCCTTTAAAACATGCCAATGTGGTTAAAGTGCTTCGCATGGGTTCAAATCTTTTCGTTTACACTTAATTTTTTTAAAATTTTTTTCTTATTTTCTAGAATACAAATTAAAACATTTTTAAAGGCCTGTAGATATATGCATAACATATATCAAGATATTATATAATATAACAAGCAATAGGGAGAGAATTTTTTACAAAGTTTTTTAAAATTTCTAAAAACTTGATTACGCCGTTAAAAATTTGTTGAGCATATATCACGGTACTTAAGTTGTTAATGTGTTTACTAATTAGTTAAGTCTGGGCATTAAAGAGACAATTTTATTTCTTATAGGAAAATATTTTACATGGCCTGTTAATTTATAAAAAAAAAAAAAAATGATTTTTCTTTAAAATTAAAACAGCAAGAGTCCTAATAAGCTGCAGATTCGAAAAAAAAACTTATTAAAGAAAAAACTAACGGCTACCCTTTTTTTTTTTTTTTTAATTTTATTATAAAAATTTGTTGAATTTATGAAGTATTGAACATTTATGGTTATATGAAAACAAAGATTTTTACATTTATCTCTTTAAAAATTATTGAAATAAAGAGAAGTTATTTCGGTCGGTTGTGGAATAGACTTACCATGACCAGTATTGAACTGCTCATGGTAAGTCCGTTGTTCTACATATTTAAATCATCTCATATTTTTTTAAATTATTTACGATTGAATTTTTTTTTATGACTCAAAAATGAAAACAATGAGTTTAATTTTTTTATAGTTATTTTCCTACCTCTTACTCAAATATATTGAGTTATAAATTTAGTATAGAAAAGGTCGGTTTGAAATACATTTGCAAGACCCATATTTTAAGAGTCACGACAACAAAAATTAAAAATAAAGCAAGTTGATGATTTGAACTTGCCACGCGGAGGCCTTGAGTTTTTCAAAACAGTACGGAGGTTAAAAAAGTATGTTTTTTATAAAAACATAATTAAAAAATTTTAATTTTATATTTAAATGAATCCATTTTATTAAACTGATTACTTTTAAAAATAATTAAAAGTTAAAGTTAAAGTTTATCTATTTTTTTGCTCCTAAAGTAGTTTTTCAGAACAAAATTATTTTACTTTAAAGTATTGAAGTTAATAAGGAATAGGTATAGAAATAATCGGTGTGGAATAGGTATTTATAGAAATAGTAGGTTCGGTAATGTATTTTACGGATTCAAAAAACTAGGATATATAAGGATAAAGTATTAAAAAGTTCGGTTTGGAATAGACTTACCAAGAACCATTTTTTTACGGGTCCGATCTCAGCTAGTGTAAAATTGTTTACAAAAAACTAGTATTCGTTATATTAAAAAAACTAAAACACCAAAAAGAACACTGCGTTACAAAGCAGCTGTTTGTTCAAAGCAAAGTAGATTGGTTTCGATTTTAGGAAAAAAGTAGTTATTATTGATGACGAATCGTATTTTTATTTGAGCAATACCAATATTTCCGGAAATGCTGGAATCTATTCTTCTGACATATATACAGCATCAAATGATGTAAAGTTGAAAAGAAAAGACAAATCTGACCCAAAATTACTTGTTTGGATTGCATTCTCGGCGAAGGTAATCTCTTATCAGTATATTACTTCATTAGGCAAAGTTGTCAATGAAGATGTGTATATTTCAAAATGTCTTGTTAGATAAGAGTGATTCATTGAAAAGCATAATAAAAATGACAACTTTGCCTTTTGGCCTGATCTAGCTTGTCATATAATTTGCGTAAAGTGCAAGGTTATCTAAAAGCTAAAAATATTGAGTTTGTACCGAATAGCATAACCCTGCTAATGTGCTAGAAATACGACCAATTGAAAATTTTTGGGCTCAACTTAAGAGATAAGTGTATAGTAAAAACTAGCAAGCTAAAAATCTATGTAAACTTAAAAAGCGGATTGAGTTTTCATCAAAGCTTCCCTTACAACAATCCCAATCCCGCATACCACATACCACAGCTCCACGAACTTTATTCTTTTTTTAAGACAATCAGGTCTTAAAAAAAGTTCTCTCTAGGCGTTCTTCTGTCTGTCTGGACTTAATCATCCAATACAACAATTGACTCATCTGAGAATACTTGCTGAACAAAAAAACTCCTGATAAGTTTAAAAAAATTTACGATACAAACGTTACATTATCAACAAGTTAACACCTACTGATATTATTATGAAAATATGATAAAACTAAAAGAAATCAATACTATCAGAGATCTAAAAGAAAGCTAAATTAATGATTAGATTGAAGCAATCTTCTTGCGTCTAACTTTCATGCTTATCAGCCCATCCATGCCTGGCACGCTTCATTTTGTTTGTGAGTCTTTTTCCTTTGTCTCTATGCCTTCAGTTCCTGCCTCAATAGGCGATTATTCAGTATTTTTTAGCTTACCTTAATTTTCTGGCTTGCTAATTGCATAGGTAGTTTCTTGCAAAAACTTCCTCTATTTCTAAGGAGAATTGCTTTGATTTCTTTTTCATGTCTGGGGGTAGGGATTCTTTTACGACCGTATTTTTATACTCTTCCAGCTTCAACGTTCCTCCCCTAATCCAGTTCCTTTTCTCTGCACTAACTGTTTATATTGAAACTTCCAATTTTATTGCTCCTTTTGTTTTAAGCTACTATTCTCCAACAATTGAAAACAAAACTTCTTTTCTTTTTTTATAACGACATTCACTGTTTTTTTTTCTTCAAAAATATGTCT